TATCGCTAATCTGTAACAAATTCCGTTCCTAAAATTAGTGACAGAATTTAGTGATGAAAATTTAATCTATTCTTAAATTCTGTTACTAATATGTCATTAATTCTATTGTAAAAGAATTAGTGACAGAATTTTCTCATCATTAATTTCTGTTACTAATCCATCCCTAACTCCACTCACAAAATATATTATATAGATAAAAAATACAAATATTATAAACAAAAAATAAATAATAAATATAATATAATTATTATTTGATTTAATATTTGAATAAAAATATTAATGATTAACTATTGAAGTATGCTAAACTAATGCTTAGAAAAGAAAGAGGAAGGAAGAGGATTGAAAAGGAAGAGGAGAGGTTCTAAAGCAGGTGAAGTGGAGGGTAATGATGACGTGATGGCTGTCATGTGGTATTTTAAATTTACAGAACAAATAAATTTAGCAACTTTCATTAAACAAATAAATTTTGGTCACTAATAAATTTAGCAACTTTGATTAGATAAATAAATTCCCATCACTAATTTGTGACAGGATTTTATTACAAATTTGTCATTATTTTGTGACAGAATTTTCATGAGATATCCGTTTCTAATTAGTGATATATTAATGACAAAAATTTTACATCATCAATTTTTATTGATAATATGGTAGTAGTCTGTTGCTAATTAGTAACGGAATTTTGAATTGCGTCACTAAATAATTAGTAACAGTGGAATTAGCAATAGAATTTTCTCTGCCACTAATTTTGATTAGTCACAGAAATTTCCTCCCTAAATTTTGTCACTAATTTGCTGTTTTTCGTAGTGACGGAAATAGAAATGGATATGGAGATGAAAATAGAGTTTAAAATTGTGTTTGCATACACATGGGATTTTTGTATAAAATACTAAAATGCCCTCCTACAAAACTCCTGCCCAATAAACATTCATAAAAAACCATTCTTCTTCATTGACAAGATAAATCAAAGCAGCATCACTAAGAAAAATCCAGAAAATCCAGCAACATAAATCAAACCCAAAATAATCACACAGTCCAAGGACATTATCAACTTTCAAAATCGACATCCTACATATCACTCGTCAACCACTGTCACCTTTAGAAGCAATATGAATTTCTTGTTTTCTAAGTTTCCACCAAATGAGCATTCAAATGATGTTTCTAAGATAGGAATCTTGTATTATTTTTCCTACATTTATTTTTTTAATCAAAGTTAAGCCAACTTTTGCTCGCTATGAGAGGTGCCCACGTTTAGTATCCAATAGTGCCTTGAATAGCATTACCTCAAATAGGAAGATATCTAAGCTTTAGCAACAAAAAAAAAGTCGAGCCAACTTTTGCCAAATACTAATGCACTATTGAATTTGACTACAAATATACTTAATCGGTTGTAAAATTCAAAATCCCAAAGCAACTTCAACAAGATGCAATGAATAGATGAAATCATCATTTACAATCAATACTGTCAAGCATGAGAGAAAGCTTAGAAGTTCAAATGTAGGGAAAAACAAGGGTGTCATCATAGATGGGGTCATCGACATCGAGAAAGGTGACGGTTGCCAGATATAAGGGGACAAAGACAGAGAAGAAAACATGGGTGCTATTAGCCGTTGCACAATCTTGTTCAAAAAGTAAAAGAAATGAGGGAAGAAGGCAAATTTAAATTTGAGGAGAAGATGAAGCTAGAGATCCTTGAAAAATGGGGGAGGAGGCCAAGATGAAGCTGGACACCACCGCCAGGTTGCCGCTCGACAACACCATCGCCGTCACATTTGTGAGCACAAGTTGTCTGTGGATTGCGTCGGCAGCGGGAGGACAAGGGAGATGGTGGCTCGACAACTTAAAGGGAAGAGACAAAGGCTAAAAATGAAAATACTGATATGGAATTAGAAATGTTGGGGTCTTAACATGGAAATCATTTCCATATATTTTGATGGATATGGAAATGGAATTTTTTCAAATTCCATGCTACCAAATATACTCAGAGCATGGAATTGGGTTCCATTTCCATTTCCATATGCTCATAACCCAAAAATTCTACCATGTAGATACAAAATAACAAACAAAAGAAATTATAAATTAGGCACACATATATAGATGTACCATCTATCTTTTTCATCATTAGCACCAAATATGACATTATAATTTATAATAGCTATATGCAAAGCCCATTAATATGATTTTTGAATGAATTTGTGAACTCGCCTTTGATGATTTTCAAGTGGTATTTGTTGATGATTTTCAAATGTTGGTTTGTGAATGAATTTGTGAACTTGCCTTTGAAAGCCCGAATTACATATGTGAAATGTTTGTGAATTGAATCTGAAGTGGTTTTGGAAATATGATTTGTAAATAATAACAAAGGGAAAACTGTTTACTCGCACGTGTTTATGGGATGCATTTTAATAGGATTATTTTATAATACAAATGATTAAAAGAGTACTTTAAAAAAACAACACATATTTTATATAAATAATTAACTTAATTAATTTTTTTAATTTTTATAAATTAGTTTTCTAATTCTTAAATTTAAAGCAGAAGAGTATATAACAATAATGGGGAACTGATAAAAAAATAATAGGGGGATTGTGCTATATACACAAATGTGAACCATCAAAACTCAACCTTTCCTTTTGCATGCACTGCAATACCATTGATTAAGAAATAAAATGAAAAAGTAGAACTAGAAAATACATGGCAAAATTTAATATGGAAAATTTTAGGGGAAAGCATGATTACATAACATTTTATATCTGTGAAGTGTGAATATAGCAGCTTTTTAACATTTGAGATATTCTTATAAACTATTTCAAAGTTAATATTCCTCCTATCTTTAACATAAGAGTTACTTAACTAGTTTAGATGGATAAAAAAAAATAAATTACTTAATTCTAGCAAATATGACATGATCTTCTTAAAATACTCCTACGTAATATTATATTACATGTTAGTTTATAAGTTAAATAGCTTAGTCTAAAATAATAATAAATATGAAAAATAAAATGAATTATAGTCTTACATTTAAGATTAAAATCAACTCCCTAACTCATCTCTACGTTTAGGACATGAGGAGTGCTAATATTAATATTAACAACATATAATTATTTAATGTTAGATAAATACTACTCCCTTTGGTCCCTATTATAAGTTATTTTCAATACTTCTCACATACCAATAAAAAAAATTAATAGCACTGAATTTGTCATAAAGTATTAAAACTCAAGTGAATTTTAATATTACCCTAATTCTCACATACCAGAAAATGTATTAAAAATATATTTCATAGTTTCTCTCACTCATATATTTTATTTTTCTCAGTATTTGTTAGTCAACAGAAGTAAAGGTGAAAAAAGTTCATTAATTAAGAACAAACCTTTTTGCTATAACTATAAATGACTTATAAATAGAAACACAGTGACATATTGAGTTCCGATATCGTATTAATTTTTATTATCTCATTGCCCTTCTTATTATGGACATATATAGAAAAAAAATTCAATACTACTTGAAACTAAGCAAATGCCTTGTGAAAAAGACTAAAAGTATCTATTAATTGTTGTCTTGTGACTTATAATAAGAACCTGAGGAAGTGTTAGCCGAGAATCCCATAAAAACAGTGAGTATAGGCAGTTATACTGGATACACATGAATTGAGTTTAATTTATATAACTTCTACAAAAATACAAAGCGAGAACCACGTACCCTTCTGACGGGTTTTGGACCGAACTACCAGTTTGTGTATAAATTAATACGCTGGACTGGTGGGTGCGCAATGCCTAATGTTCATCGTATTGCCTAGGGCTCTGCATTGATCTAACTCTAATATGCTGCTCGTTCTTCAATTCAACTGGGTCCAACAATTGATTCCATGGGCGCATTAACATCTTCGCAATCGCTCTCGTTCTTTGATTTTCTCGATCACATGCGAAACCTTGCTTCCATTAATCTTGTCCGATCCATCAAGAGATGAACGCCCCTTTTCTTTTCATCTTTCTGGCTCAATCATATACCTCTGGTATTAGCTTTTTGAATTTTGTGGTTTTTTAGTTGCGAATGGCTGCTGCATTCCTTTTCCCCCTTGCTTATGTGTAGTTTCGTGTTTAGGAAGTTTGTCAATAGTTGAATGCCCAAGATGTTCGAATCACTGAGATTTGGTAGAATTGGTGGAATTGCAAGGATATTCCCCCCCCCCCTCTATCGGCATAGACCAATTCCAAAAATATTGAAATCTAAAACTACTTGAGCACAACATTTAGAGCAGAAATTGAATTGCCAATTTAATTACTTGCTTTAGAGTTGATGGTGTGGTACAAGACCCTCTCGCATTTATCGGTGAATGGACCTTTTTCAATTTCTTGGTCTTGCATTTTTAATTTAAGGCCTTAGTTTTCACGATTATAAATGGATATGTTTGTATATTTTAATCAAATCATATTATTTTAATTGTGATTGGGTTGATTACCCGATTCAATAAGCCGGCTCAATTTTCAGTAGCTCATTGGGCATAAAATTTGCGCATATTGAGGATTTGAAATTGAAACCTAAGTAGCATTGCCAAATTCCTCTAATGAGTACGCTGTTACTAGTAAAATATAGAGAGTACATGGCAACTCATTTTCCACACCAGCAGTGTACAATTAACTATCATAAAGTAGAACAAGAAACTTCATTACTACAATTTTTCCAAAATGTGCTGTTATGCCACAAGGAAAATTCTAAACTAAGCAGAGGATGATCTTCTGATAAATCTACATTCGAAGATACATTGAATCGGAATAAGAAAGAATAAGAGACATAAACCTAACCTATTTTGAACTCACAAGAATAAAGGTAGATTTCATTTCTTTTTCTCTTTATTTCAACGAAGAATTGAATGACACGCACATTAGAAATGGAACCTTGTTCAAAATTAGAATGCAGAATCATAAGGTTGCACCCTTCATTGTTAGATTCCCCAAAATCTTCAGTGAAAAACAACCTTGAACCAACCAACGTCAATGAAGTCATATGAGGATCAAACCAACCTCAAACAAGCAAACTTGTCTGCAGAGATCCCATATTCCCATGCCCATGTATTGACCATCAAAATCTTCAATGTCAAACCACCCTAAACCATTCAGAACCTGTTAATCGTATGATCTCAGATAGATCCAGCTATTCAAAACTAAATGTGTCTTAGATTACAAGCAATAAGTTGTTATACATATAGTCAAGTTAAAAATGAAATGTCAGCATCAGATGGCTCAGAACTAATCAACCTCTATGACAAAGTCATCCCCTGTAATGGATTCATATCATTGAAAATACGTGTGTAAATTTAGACCTATCAAATCAAATTCACTCAAATCAGATTCACTAGCAAAATAATAACGCCAAAGCAGTATCAATCCTTATGCATGGTCATAGTGCATTCCCCATAATACAATATACATCCGAAGTCCAATCTGCAAATATTCAATCATATATCACCTTAGAAATCATTAGCAGCCAAATTAGGAAAATCTGAACAGGTAGCAGGATGGTTGAACTCCGAGTCCAACATCAACAAATGAAGGTGGAGGCTCTAGAATATCCATATCTCCATCCTCTGCCTTGGGACTAAGGTCATGCGGTGCCAACGCCTCATCTGGATTATAAATATCTTTGGTGCTTTAAATGCTTTGGGAAGCCTAGGTGAAAGAAACGGAAGAATTAAACTAAATGAAGGAAACATCAACTCCATACTAATTTAACAGAAATTAATGACAGACCTGATATGTACAATTTTTTTGTTGAGTCTGAGCATGTTGGAGGTTAGAGAGGTTAGAGACCATAGTTCTCATCTCATCATGAAGCTCAGCAATAATCTCATTTCGAGTTGATTGACAAATTTCCTGAAGCGCTTTACGAATCTGTTCTCGAACCATGGCCGTAATCTCCTCTTTAGATACATTTGCTGGAGAGCTTCGTGAAGTTGGCCCAAAGTATTGAATGAGACCAATCGTTTTTCCTACCTCTCTAACACGACCAAGGTGATCCAGCTTCCCAATTGCTGTTGCCAAGATGTCCATTCTCCCCTTTTGAGTGAAGGAACCTTGACTACTTTGCTTCTCAAGTGCATCCTGTAACATACAAGCAATAAATATAATCTTAAGCAGACATGAACATAACTTCAATTTATTTAAATTTGATTGCTTACAATTTTTCCAGCAATCTCAGCAACCTTTGGATTTATATATTGGCCTTTCTTTATCCTCCCTTCCTTCCATTTTTGGTGGCGAGTTGCACGAGATGGGGCCTGAACAATGATGCCAGGATTTGATTTTGCAACTTCCTGCGTTGTCTTCAAATTAGCTTGCATGATATTCTGCTCTACTTTCTTATAACCCCCACGAGACATACAACGCTGATATAAATTTTTAGACTGCCTCTCTTTATTTACAACACTTAATTTCTGTAAAAATAAAACAAAGCAAACTAAGTCAATGAAATAAAATAAATCAAAATAAATTGTCTGTAAACTAAAATGATGATTAAAGAAATTTACTTGAAATTCAGGGTCTTGACGTGACTCCACAAACTTTCTCCAGGTCTCTTGATCAAGAAATGGGCATTTTAAACGTGGATCCTCATTGTTCTTAGCACCTTGAATGTATACTCTGGTGAGTATTGTCTTAAAATCTTTCCATCGCCCATGTACTTGCTGCAACCAATGCTTCTTCATCTCATGGGTGGGAGGGACATCATAAGTATGCTGCATGCATTTGAATAAATTAAAAGTACCAATAATAATTATATTTAAAACAACATTTAAAAGAAAAGGAGAAGAAAACTGTATGCCAAAATATCTTTCCAAACCGTGTCCCTTGTAGTTTCTGGTACTGACTTCCAATTAGGGAACAAAATGCCAACTTTACTTTGGGCTATAAAGCCTATATAGCTAATGAATCTACCCCCCTCTGCACCAAGGGGATTCTTGCCATCATCAAATTCCACATGCATCCTGTCAGTAGCACCATGATGTGCACCCAGCTTTGTGAACTTAATTATGCCTCTACCCCTTTTCCTACTCGATATGCCCTTCATGTTATTCCCACTAGAACCCTCCATGTGCCTGTTGAGAAAATAAGGTGAGATAGGTAAGTAGATTGAAATTCTTAGCCCAACAAAAAAAAAAAAAAAAAAAAAAAAAGAACATGAAAGAATATTACCCATCAAGTTTTGAAACGAATTCAGCAGAGTTTTCCCTAGAAGTTGAACCTCCTGAAATATTCAAATGATAGAACATTACTCATTCCAAAGCAAATTATGATAAACATGTTTAAAATGTGTGCGGGTCCAAATGATCCATAGCTTAAGCTAAATAACAACAAGTCTTATCCCACTACATGAGATTGCTTAAGCTAAACATGACCTCAAAAAAAAAAAACACCTATCAAACTAATCCAGTGTTTAAGATAAATAGATTAATATAACAATTTAAAATATCACAAAGCATCAGATTATCTTTCCATCAAATGTCTTCCATGTGCGTGCCCAAGTTTCCATATTTTCAGGGAGAAGAGGGGAGGAGCTAGAGACAGAGAGTACCTCTTGCCAATGAATGAGAGCCATGTTCTTTAGTCATTTGAACTCCACTGGTTGAAGGCGTTATCTCAGGTTCAGTTATATTATTAGAAGCATCAAATCCAGGGCCTCTTGAGATCTTCATGTTTAATGAATTTGTATAATGGCAAGTTTCACAAATCCAATCATCAAGAGCTTTTCGGACAGAAATTCGCATACAATAACTGCAAACAGAGAGAATAGCATTAATTAAGAATGAGATCTATTTAGCCCCAAAAATACAATTCATGAAGCCATTGAAATGATCGCAAGACAATCAGGCGACCAATTATGTAATAACATCTAGAAAATTGATTATAAATGTCAAATATGAGATCTGGCTCTTTAACTTGCTCTGCAAAATTACTGCACAAGTAAAATGGAGAAAAGGATTTTTTTTTTTTTAAAAAACAGCACAACAGCAATTGAAAATCAAGCCAACTAAAGACATTTGATGGATGACTGCACACATCAGGCTTATAAAAGGAAGTGGCTAACGCAATCATCCTTCTCTTAGAAATGAAAACCATACACAAATACAAACCACTGATGTTGAAAAATAGAAAGGGGCAAAGGTGAGAGATCAATACATATGTTCGCGAGCTACATTGCATTTGGAGCACGTAGCAATAGATTCTGGCCCCAAGAGCACCACATACATCACAAGGTTCAACCTGCAATGGAAACAAACACGATAACTTTTTGAAAATCAATTATACAGAGAAGCCCAGTCTTCTTGATCCCTCCTTTTGAACAAGTAAAATTTCCTTTCGGAAACAAATACAGTGGAATTAGGATTTTCTCTTACACTGAGGGTATCGTCTTGTTGCTCCAATTTCATGACTGCTTAAGGCTTCTTACTGTGATTTCTGGGCTGCTTCTTCTGCAAGGATGAGAAAGCAAAAGGAGAAAATCACGGTGATTATTATGTCTCCTTACTGTGGCTTTTGAATCCGTTAGCCATACAAAGAGGATGTTTGACAAAGACATACAAGATAGAAGATCAATTCAAGATTATATCCACGTATAGCAGAAGTAGACCAAGCGCACTGACAATATCGTCATCAACCATCTTAAGGCATTTTAAACAAGCTGATATATCACTAATGACTATAAATGTTTCAGCATCACTCTAAATTCTGTGGCTGTATTTGGAATCAGTCCTTAGTTCATCCTTTATCTTAAGTTTAAACAAGCATAACCTGAAAAATGGTTTTGAAACCCACAAGCGCCCTAGTTCACCAAATAAAAACTAATAATCTGGAAAGTCAATGCCTTTCTTCTATGAGTGAAAATAGAACTGATCGTAGCAGCAATGGGGGAAAAAACAATTATTACTCAATCCTCAAACAAATGTTTGTATCTCAGAGAGAATGAGAGAGTGAAATGAACAAAACCGAAAACGTGCATGAATCGTCGAGGGAAACCTTGAATGTTGAAATCGGAACCAGAAGGCAACCCAAGACCGTTACATGCATTTTACTCTTACCTCGTTTCGTCTGAACTTCTCACTATTTTCGCCCTCTAACGCTTTTCGTCTTCTCCCTGTTGCGTCTTCACTCGAGCTTCTTTTTTTTTCCCTTTGCTCTTTTTTTTAAAATATTGCAGGGAAAAGTCGAACAGGCCACTACATTTCCGCCTTTCTTCACCCAGTCCGAAACGAAACAGTCCCTGGGAACAAGATGAACCGGGTAAAAGAATCGATTTCTTGGGTCCGTTTGGATGAGCGATTGGAAAAGCAACTTATAGGAAAAGTAGCTTATGGAGAAGTGAAGTTGGTAAAAGCTAAATTGGATAAGCTGAATTGTGTTTAGATTGGAGTTCAGAAAAGCTAATTTGCAGAAGTGAGATTGGTAAAAAGGTGTTTGGATTATAGTTGAGTAAAAGTGAGTTTGGTTATAAAATGACTAAAATGGGTATAAGTGTTAATAAATAATGAAATATGATTAAAAAAAAATGATTTGACATAATACAATGAAATTAAAATAATTTATTATGAAGAAGTCAAATTAATGAGTGAATTAAATTTTAAAATTTCAAAAAAATCATAACAAATATTTTAAATATAATGTGAAACATGAAAAAAAATGAATTGATATAATACAGTGAATTATTGTTAATTTGATATGAAGAAGTGAAATTGATCGAGGGAATTAAATTTGAAAACATAAGAGAAATGAAAAAAAAAATTGCAAATATAAAACGAAACATAATTTGAATGGGTAAACATGTTTTTAACTCCAATTTACAGTATTGCAATAAAGTGAAACTAAATAATATTACATAACTAATCAATAGATAAGCTATGGATAATTTGGTCTCTGATTGCATCACGGACGCGATTCATATGCGATGAAGACTGTGATGTAACATTTGAAGATGATGGTTGACTAGCTTCAGCCTGATCATGTTCGCCCACATTATTACCATTTTCAGCTTATTCAAAAAACAAGTCGGAGCTCGAATGTCTCCTTATAAGGTTATGAATGGCCATTGTTGCACAAACCAGATACACTTGTGTTTGGAAGTCGTAACTGCGCATATTTCGTAGGACTTGAAATCTATTCTTCCAAACACTGAATGTTCTTTCTATTGTGCACCTTAAACTGGAATGATAATAATTAAAGGCTTCGTTGCTATTTCGGAATCCTACTTGTCGTCGAAAGTCTGGAAGGTGGTAGCGCTCAGATCTGTATGGACCTAGATATCCATTTGGTGTTGGATATCCCGCATCAACCAAGTAATATTTCCCTAATGATTCATGAAACAATTTGAGAGATTGTGAAATGAATAAAAGTATGAAATAATTAAAAAAACATGCATGATTGGAACACGTAAACATATACCTGGAGGTGGATGAGGGAAATTAAGAGATGAATTTGTAATAGCACTATCAAATATACGAGCATCATGTGCAGATCCCTCCCATCCTGCCAAGACAAAAGTGAAACACATATCCCAGTCACATACAGCCATGACATTTTGTGATGGATATCCCTTTCTGCCAATAAATTTGTCTCGTTTTGCAGCGGGGACAACACACTGTATATGAGTGCCATCAATTGCTTCGATTGTGTCCTTAAAAAATGGGTAGTAACGTGGATCGTTCTCAATTTTTCTATGAGTTCCACGAAATGTTGGATCTATGGGTCGAATAAGTTCACTCGATAGGCTAAGACAAGCTTGCAGTACATTATGAAAGTGCCTACTTACAGTTTCCCCTGATCGTTGAAATCGTTCCTGGATCATTCTATTGCATTGTCCATGTGCAACCGTGTTTAAAAACATCGCAACCATTTCTTCAATTCCTACGTACTTAGACTTTTGTAAACCATGTTCCACCAATTTAGTACATAAGAGGTGGAAAACATCTTTATCCATTCTAAACATTTCATGACATCGATCATCATGCCCATTCATAATGCCTTGTACCCATAAATTTCCTGTCTGCTCACTAGTTCTGCACGGTTGTTTAAACATGTACATTTCACAATAATGACCAACCAATGCACCTACTGCTTCATATTGTGTTAATTCCTCATTAATTATGGTTGAATGGTCATCTTCATTTGGCTGTGAATCGTTATTCCAATTCCATAAAGTATCTTCATTCCATGGTGAATCATCGTTCCAATTAGCCATTTCTGGAATTAACCCTGTAATTATGGTGAAAACAAAATGTAAGCATTATAAGGATTACACTAAACAAAGTGTAAATAATTTTCATACTGCAAACAGAAAAACCAAACGCATAGATGACAAGTAGAAATTAGCGTAAATATATTACATAATGATTAATAAAGTTCCTACAACATGCCACATCAGTTTAAGTTAAAACATAATGATTAATAAAGTTCCTACAACATGCCACATCAGTTTAGGTTAAAACAGCAGGTAGTTCAGGTTAACAAGTGCAATAACAATAGTTAAACAGCTAAGTCCTAAACTAAATCCTATTCTGCAGGTCACTTCCATGTGTCTGGGTCTTGTGCTGCCGGTATCAACCACCTCAACAACTTGCTTCTATCATGCATAAACCCCAAATAGGCTCGCCTAGCCCATCTCAACCGCGTAAGCATCTTGGCACATGCATAATATAGTTGATTGTCATCATTAAGCTCCTCAACGGTAGTCAGGTGTGCCAAAACCTTATCAACTACTTGGGGATCTTCAACCAATGCTGCTGCTCGCTTGTCAGAAGCAGCTGCTATGACACTCAGGCTATCAGAAATTAATGTAGATGCAGCAACTTTCTTCTTCTTCTTTGCATCTGATGTCTCACCCCTCTTTCTCTTTCCATAGCTTCCTGAGCCACTTGGTCCAGTACTTGCGGGGGTGTTTATGTTGCAAGCAGCGAAGTCATTTGTGAACCCTACACTGGCTGTTGGGTCCACACCAAAGTTTTCATCCTCACTATCCCCTGACCCTTCTTGTTGGTCTAGCCCGACTCTATAAACATCCTCCTCCTCTTCTATGTCAGGCTGTGGAGCAAACGCTGGCTGAGGCTGTGAGCTGATGGTGCGTACGCATACTCTCCCAAAGCCACAACATCTCTGAATATTTTCATCAATCTGATGCAAACATCAACCCCTGATGTCTAAATTTCTTGAAATTAGGGTCCACCTACATGAACATAATTAGGCATAATTAAGCGATGTTCCTTCTGATATTCAAAATTAAAACTCAACTAACACAAATAGTTACCAGTATTTTTCGTTGCCACCACTCATCAGAGGCCAACACCCTATTTGTGGCTGCATCATAACCAATGCCAGTCTCCCCAGACATCAGTTTTTCCCACAACTTCCAATCTTTTCTCAATACATCAAATCTGTTCTTCAGTTGCCTTCTGTCATAATTTTCCCGCTCCTTTCCCGAAAATTCTTTTCAATTTTCGCCCAACCAGGTCTTGTAAATGATGTTCCTTGTCTTTCTTTGTGCACTATTTGCTCGGCACAAACATCGATTAGAATTTTTGTCGTGTAATGATCCCATGTCGCTTTTCCCCTGTCATTATCCATTTCTCTACGTCCTTTGATCGAGATAAAGTAACTGAATCAACCAAAGTCCTAAATATGTAATAATAAAAACTGTATTATATAACACATATGTTGTAACCAAACAAACATATATCACCAAGTAACACATTTTAATTATATAATCACAATGTCAATGTCCACTATTTTCCGGTGGTAATTGATTGTGAACATTTTAAAATTAAATTTTCAATATATCATATAAATTGAACCTAAACTACATTACATTGATTAATTTTTATCCTAATTTAACTGTGTAGGAGTAAAATAAAAACCAAATTAAGAATGATGAACAAGATTATTTACAAAAATATGTTATATTTATCATAATTAACTAATTTACCTAACTTTTTTAATATAATTAAATTAGTTAAATAAATATCATATTAGAGAGAAGTAAGAGAATATAACAGGAGAAAGAACAACATTAAATTTATTTTGATTGAGACTTCCCCAAATTAATTCCAAATGATTTTTAAGTAATTATCCACATAGTCCTTAATTTCTTTGTATAGTACAAATTAGTGTCTTATTACTTTGCTCTATCAACTCCGTTAATTAGCTTTATCAAATGAACCATTCGGACACACATATATACACATATATACACCATGTTACCACCTCATTCTCTTCTACCTTACCCTCATAGAGATCAAATCCTATAACCATAAAAATCAAGAGACCGAAGCTAAGGACATGCAAAACAACAACCATTGTAATTCTGAAAATTACAATTCCAGAGTTACATATCTCGCCATTAACAACGTATATACGCAACAATTTCTTGAATCCTATAACCATAAAAATCAAGAGAATCCTATACGCCGTTTCCTTGAACCATTAATCGTTGTTTCAGCCTTGGAAAACAGAGGAAGAAAATCGATATGCAACTAGAAATTTTATGCTACATTCGGTCCCTGTTTCGGTGTCACAACCAGTCGGTCCTCAACATGCAGCAATCATTAACAAATCTGAATTCAAGCACGATAGGAAATTCAAGGACGACAGGAAATTCAGGGAGGACAACAAATTCAAGGACGACCGGGGATCAAACCGGAAAAGCGACATATAACCGGCCAACCTGCAGTAGATCCAAGCTGCCAGAGGTAGATCCAACGGTATATTGCACTGGGAAGCCAAGATCTCCACGCACGGCTCAAACGCAGAGGCAGACGCCGGCGACGTCGGTTGCAGACGGTGAGAGCAGCTCCGACTTGTGATGAACGAACGGCATCCACCAAGCCACGGACACCTCACCCCAACAGCTGACCTCGCGATGATGACCGGACGGAGCTCACGGTCACCAGCGACGAGCTTCTCAGACGCGACCACCGACGGACGTTCTCGAGCCGAGCAGAGACGGAGCAAGCTAGGAGCTCGGGTTAAAAGGAAAAGAGAGTCACGAGGGTTTGGCACCAATCAGCACATTCAAGGCCTTAGCTGTTGTCGTCGCCGTGGCTCTCTTCTCCGCCGCCGCTTTTGCTTAGGACGTCAGCACGCCCTCGCCGACTCCAGCTCCCGATGTTGGAGCTGCCGGATCTGTTTCCAGCTCCATCGCCCTCATCGGCGCCTCCGTCATCCTCTCAATGCTGGCTATTTTGAAGAACTAGGCATGCGGATCCATTAATGTCTCCTCCTATTTGTGTCTAGTTTGATTGATGATGATTCGTTTGATACACAGTTAGGGATATCTTGTTGATTTACAGTGAGGATTTTAGCTGATTTGTGTACATTGGAAAGTTGAGATATGTGGGAGTACGCATGAATTACTCATATAGTATGATTTTTTATATTTATTGTATATGAATAAGAAATAAGAAGCGTTTGATGCTCTTTATTTTGTAGTTTTATATGTGGTGATTGGTGATTCGAGACGGTAAATGAGTTTATAGTTGATATTGGACGGAATTTAAAAAACTTGTAGCGTTAATTTTGCTAATTAAAGAAAAACCAAATGTTAGTTTTTAGGAAAAGTTCATCATTCCCGAAAAAAAAAACCATTCCTCTATAGTGTAAAATTATTTTCGCAACGCTGTTAAGCACAAACACCTTAATAAAATGTCGAATTCATTGAGTTTCTCAATTTTCATCAAAATTATTTCAAGTAGTGCATATTAAAAACTGATCGTATTCTTTATAATTTATATGGTCTCATCATCGTTCAAAAAATAAAGAAATTTAATTTCTTCACACATATATTTTTATTGGAAATATTATCAAATATTAAATGTAAATATCTCTTGAGATAAAAAAAATTTAATTGACATGTCATGTCTGATGTATTTAGTTTTGATAGGAAATGTAACTTTGCAGCCCAATAGTTCAATTACTTTTTTTTTTATACAATTAAAATACTCCATCCAATCTTACATGTAAGAACTAAATAATTAATTTATAAAAATCAAGAAATTGGTTATTTGTAAAAAATATATATTTGTTTAAAACACTTTATTTAATCATTTATATTCTAAATTACCCTTGTGATGAATATTTTCTTTTAGTATATGTAATTGATAGGGATGATTTGAGGGGGAAAAAAATGCTCTTTAGGATTTTAAATATAAAATGACTTTAACTAACTTATAGAACTTAAAAAAAAAAAAAGTTAAAAGAGTTATTTATAATTAATTTTTTTCTGTTATCCTTATTAGAGTAGCTACTTAACTAATTTGTATTGGGTAATATTGAAAAACAAAAAATAAGCAAACTTAAAATGTTCATTAAAAAGAACATCATATAACAAATACTAGTATAGAACAGCTTGTAACCGAATAACAAAAATAACAAATTGATAAGTATTATTAAATAAATTTATAAAAATTAAAAAGAAAAATAATATATCTGGACGGAACATTCTTGTCTCACGTCCAGTGCCATTTCAAAACAATTTTGTCTCATCCCAAAATTACTCAAATAAAAATGAAACGCTAGGATGAGATACCATTGAACGCACCTAAACTTTGCGCAATATTCTCCTCTACCTTCCGTTAAAGCAAACACAGCATCTCAAAATGTGTAAGAAGACCCAAGAAAACTTGTCCGGCTGGCTCAGCACCTTAAGCCCAAAAGGTCATCTAAAATTCTCTACCAGATGAAGCCATTCATCTCTTTGAACGACGCCAGGGACTCGCTCACCTATCCTGCCAGGAGAGGAAACACCAAAAGGAAAAAAGGAACCAAATACTGTGGAGATACAGGGGATCGAACCCGGCACCTCTCGCATGCAAAGCAAGCGCTCTACCATTTGAGCTGCACCCCCAGCTTGCGAGCTTGCGGCTTAAAAAAATATATGTTTAATAATTTAAACAAGGAATATATTCTAAAACAATGGGAACTCTAGCTTTGGAGCATATGAATCTTTTTTTTTTGGTCCAAGGAGCATATGAATCTAATAGCACTAAGTTGCTAGAATTGGGCATAAACAAGAAATAAATACTGCCAAAATAAAGATATGAGTCACATTATTATATATTCTTAATACATTGGTAACATGCGATTTAAGTTTTAATGTACATTTTTAGCATTTATATGGCAGTAAGTTTTAAAAAATGTTTGGAGAAGAAAATGGGCGTAATATAAACATGCAGAAATGGTAAAATGTAATAACCTGAGGCCAGAAAATGGATTTAATTATTCTGTAGATGATCTTCGGTCCAAGCACATGTGTTCTTATATTGGAAGTATACCTGCAACTTCTGAGCAAGATGCAGAGACCACAAAAGCATGGGTGTTATGGGTTGAAGAAGATCCGTTTTTTTTTTGGAGGGGTTAAGAAGATCCCATTTTTGAATTTTTTTTTTTTTAAGAATCAGATGATGAAAACCCCCTAAATAAGTCAGGTGTCTTCTTGCATTCTGATATATACTTTCGTCAACAGAAAGTAATTAATGGCACTTGTCATCAAAGAAAGAGAACAGAAAGTACTAGTATCAAGCCTAGATACACAAAGTTAATAAGAATTGAATTTAACAGAAATGACTAGTTTTTCACAACATAATAAATTAGGATTCAAATTATTATTAGAAATATCCATATTTAATGCTCAACACTACTTCAATTGGCAGAAGGCTAAGCTTTACTATACTATATCAACATACAGCTTTTGACCGTCATAAACCTAGGTAGGTTCTTATGGTCCAAGAAAATTGCAAGTTGGATGCAACAGAAAAAAAATTTTAATTGACTTATCATGCATTTGGTCCTAATGACAAATGTAATCTTTTAGACAATTAAATTATTATTTCATGGCATAGAAATTAAAATACTTCATCCAGTCCTACATATAAAGATTAAGAAAATAGTTATATCAATTATTTCTTAAAAACAAGTTATGTTGAATTTTTCAAGATGTATCATTTAATCATTTGCATCACAAATTATAACGATTGATAAAAATTTCTTTTTACTATGTGTAAAAGATGAGAATAATTTGAAGGAAAAAAAAACCTTGGTGTGGTCCTAAATTTAAAGTCCTTTTAACTAATTTGTATAATGAACATATTACATTAAATTTCTTACATTCATTACATCA